CCCCCCCCCCCCCACAGCCTTGCAGTGGGGCGGCTCTGCCCCTGAGCCTTCCCGGGAGGTCAGTCACGGGGCTGGAAGGCCAAGCCGTGGCCCCGCTGACGGACGTCCTCTGCCTTGCCTACAAGCCGAGCCAGCATTCTGGGTCTGGGGCCAGCTCACTCCCAAGCCCTTAGAAGTCCAGCGTCCTGTGGGTAAAGCGGAGCAGTGAATGCAATGGCCCTTGCACTTGTCTGGAGGATCCCCTGCCTTCGGGCCCCCGAGTGGGCCGTCCCCAGAGCCTGCCGCTGTCCCTGGTCCTGAAGCCCACTTGGCCGGACCCTGGCTGTCTGCAGGACCCGCGGGGGGCTGGGAGGGGACAAGCTGGCGTCCCACCTGCCCTACTCTGTTTAGTGTCCGAACAGCGCTCCGTGCTGCTGCCCTCGAGCTGTCCTGTCGATCTGGCAGGGCGGGCCTCCTGCCCGTCCTCTGAGATAAAACAGCTGGCTTTATTTCCTCCCCGGTCATGTCTGGAGCTGTCCGAACAGCCTGAGTGGAAGGTAGATGGAGACCTTTCCAAAGGAAGATAAAGCCAAGGGAAGGCAGGTGTCGCTCCCCACATGTGAGGGAGACCCTGGCGACGTGCTGGGTCCCCGTGCTGTCCCTCGCCACCCGACCAGGCTCCTGCTGGAGCGGGCGGGCGGTTGTGATATGTCCCTGGGGCCGTTGGCTTGCCCCCACCTCCCGAGCAGGGCCCGGATAACGAGCACTGCTAACTGGTTCTGTCTGTGGTTTGTTTCCTCCATGCGTTCAGATCAGATACATGCAGGTAAGTGGCAGGTGGAGGGGGACCCGGGGTAAGTTCTGCCAGCACCGTCTTCCTCCATCTTTCGGGGAAGGTCTCAGACCTCTTGGGAAAAGCCTCCCTGTCCCCAGGGAGATGCTATCAGGCACTACACTTTTGCACCTAGTTTTAGGGGATCATGGGCCCCCAACATCCCCCTGAAGCCCCTACATTAGCAGTGTAGCACCCCGGCCGGTGGGACAGTGGGCTCGGGAAGAAGCCCCTGGGTGATGTGCCCCATCTGGATGAAGGACGATGGCGTAAGGGCAGATATGAGTCCAAATGGCATGTCACGTGGCCCAGCACTGTTTCCCCAGAGCCTCACTTAGGGACAGATCTGGCCCGCTCAGCCTAAAAGAACGTAAGGGGGTGTCTGGAAATCCACAGCTGCCTCTGAACAGTTCCCCCACCTGCGGGCTCTACCCCCTGTGGCCACACGGTCTCCTGGTCAATCCCGCCTCTGGCCACATCCCCCCCCCATAGGAGCTGGGGAGCAGGCTCTGCCCCGAAGCGTGTCCCCAGTGACGCCTGCAATGAGCTGTTCCCTCAGGACCCCGAGTGGAGGCCAGGGGACACTGGGAAGGCCCAGGCCTGCAGGGCATTGGCATCTTTGTCAGAGGCCCTCGCAGGTCGCTCAGCTGGTGGGCATGGGTCCTCGGAGCTGGTCAGAGCCTTTCCCTGTGCACAGAGTGGGTGCTTTAAGCCATGCCACGCCTGCTGTATATGCTGGGGGGGCTGGAGCGTGCTTGGTCTGCTAGGATTCACAGAGGGCAGCGGGAGCCCAGACTCTACAAGGCCCCGCGCCTTCCTCGAGCTGTCGCCAGCCCCCAGGCACATGCCCATCCCTTCCCTGTGCCTCAGTTTCCCCATCTGCAAACAGGAGGGGAAGGGCTCGGGCCCCTTCTGCCTCCTGTCCGGCCCCTCCGTTTCCCACTTGGCGGCCAGGCCTCGGCGGTCTGCAGGCGGTGGGCCCGGCGGGAACCCGGCTCACGTCTTGTGTCCTTCCTTTAGAAGATGGGCATGTCCGAGGATGACAAGAGAAACTGCTGCCTGCTGGAGATTCAGGAGACCGAGGCCAAGTACTACCGGACCCTGGAGGACATTGAGAAGGTGGGTGTGGGCCTTGGTGCCGTCCTGGGACCGCCGGTCCCCTGGGGCGGTGCTGTCCCCAGGCAGGGACACAGGGCAGCAGTGACAGGTGCAGAAGCTTCGTGGCCCTCTCGGCTTTGCCGTCAGGCACCCCTCGGCCTCTGCTCCCCACACAGGCCAGTGTCCTCGTCGGCTGTCACCCTCGTCCCTGATCCCACCTCCCACCCCTTGGCCCTGGACCACCCCGAACTGGTCTCTGCTGCTCTTTCTGGCCTAAACTGGGTATCGTTACAGCTTCTGTTCCCGATTGCACTGCACTAACCTCCTTCTGTGTACTCTTTCGCGCAGACTCAGCGCTAGGTTAAGTGCTTTCTGTATTCCTTCTCACCTAAGACATTCTCTGTGAGATCCCACTCTGTGAGCTGGGATCACAGCAAAGCCACCCCATAGATGGCTGGGAGTGTCCTGCCTCTGGGGCATGGTCAGGCGCACCGATGGGAGCCTGCAGAGCCCCCATGGCGCATCCGGTGCTCCCCTGAATGGCTCGTCAGTCCTCTCTCCCTGGCTGGCCCCCTGAGCTCCCAGAGGACCACGGATGGGCCTCCTTCTTCCCCCCGCCCGCCCTGCTCTGGCCTCCCGTGCACGCTGGCTCAGTGACATTTCCCTGTCGCTTGAAGGTCCTTGTTGCCAGCTGCTGGTGCTTACTGGGTGAACATCCAACATTGTTTAAGGGTCCTCTGTGGCTCTTTGCTTGCAGCGTAGGGCAAGTGCGGCCATGACGGCAGGGCCTCCAGCCGGGAGTCCTGCGATGCCCCTTGGCCCCAGGCCCCCGCCTCCAGCCTCAGCCAGGCCTGTGTGCCCGCCCTCCCACCCCCCTGGCCACTGGCCTTGCTGCAAACACACCAGCCCCATCCCTGCTGCACGCCCTGGCCTCCACTCTCCATCGGCCCCTCCCCGGGCAGTCTACTCCCCCGCCGGTCCCAGCTCCCAGGCCAGCTCCCTCCGGGGCCCTGCAGACCTCTGCAGTCCCTCCGCACAGCCCAAGTCCTAAGCTGCGGCCGTCTGTCTCCACCCTGGGACGTGGCCAGCCTTCGAGGGCAGGTGCTGCTGGTCCCCGGCGTGATGCACGTAGCGGGTTAAGCAGGGAGTGTGCTTGGCCAGGGCACGCGGTGTGCTGAGCACTTGGGGGGACAGTCACATTTTAATCTTCCCCTAGCCATCGAGGTCATTGTTGCTACCCCCACGTCCCACGCGAGAAAACCGAGTGCTAGCCCGTCCTCGGCACAGGGAAGAGGCTTGTGCACTCGGATGGTTCTCTTCCTGCTCTGCACGGCGGCCGAGGAGGAGCCCAAGGGGCCAGGACCCCATGGGGAGTAAGGCGGCAGGTCCTGCACCACAGGGCCTCTGGGGCACCACCTGACGGTCTCCCCTGTGCGCATCTTCTCGGAGGCCAGGCCCGGAGGACTCCGGAGAACCACTCCCTGCCCCGGCGGGGCTTCCGGGTCAGGGAGTATCTCTTTTGATGGCAGGTTTAGGGCCGTACCTAGGCTCAGGTGGGAAGTGTGGCCCTGCCACTGTCCAGAGGTGTACCCACGGGTGATGCCCTCACCTCTCTGGCCTCCGTTCCCGGAAATGTCTCGAACAGCGGTAGCATCTCCCACCCTGGGTTGCAGCAGGGTTCAAGTCCAATCTGCTGGACGCCTCGGAGCTTTGCCCGTGTGGTGGGCGTGGCTGCTTAGGCCAATCCCGCCCGCCCCTGCACATTCCTGTCCTGCCACCACCCTGCACAGTGGGGCACACCCCCCCTAGGATGCACACATTTTCCAGCAACGCTGCGCCAGGCCTGCATAACCGCCCCGCGGGGAACCCCCGGCCCCCGGCCCCTGGACCTTGGCGAGGTTGTCTGAGCCCCTCCTGCCGGTGGCTCTGGCCTCAAAGGGGGCTGGCCCCCTCCAGGCGAGCTGACGGTGATGGGCTTCTCTGTTCCAGAACTACATGGCCCCTCTGAGGCCGGTGCTGAGCCCGGCGGACATGACGGCCATCTTCATCAACCTGGAGGTAAGGGTCTGGGCCTGCGGCTCACCGTGTGCAGGCCCAGGTCTCCAACCGGCTCGGATGTCAGGCAGGCTCCAGCCCGACTGTCCCCATGGGTCCTGGAGAGCTGCGTCCCTGCCAGCTGCATGGTTGGTCAGAACTACGGGTGTTTTTAGGACAGATGCGTAGGAGGGGAGTAGCCGCCCTGCCCTCCGGGAACTTTGGTGTTCGGAGGCCGGAGGACAGGGTTTCAGCAGAAACCTCTCTGTCAGCAGGGTGGGGAGGGTTGGCATGAGGCCCCAGAAGCTACACGTGGGTGGGTTTCGTCCAGGAATGCCCAGTGGGCGCAGCATGCCAGCAGCTGGTGCAGCGGCTCCTGCCTGGCTCCCTCAGCCCCTTATCACCTCAAGAGGTGGGTGCTGGTCTCCTGGTTGAGGCTGAGCCAGACTCCAGACTCGGGAGGCTCTAGCTCCCTGTGCCCCTACTCAGAGTCTATCCTGCCTTGGGTGGTGGCCAGCACAAATGGCCATGGACAGAATGGGAGCCTGGACCGGGGACGATGGGGAGCCCTGGGGGGGGGGCAGGAGCCTGGATCAAGGGACATGGGGAGCCCCAGGGGGCCAGGAGCCTAGATCGGGGGCCATGGGGAGCCCTGGGGGGCCAGGAGCCTAGATCGGGGGCCATGGGGAGCCCTGGGGTGCCGGGAACTTGGATCAGGGGCTGCGGCAGCCCTGGGAGGCCAAGAGCCTGGGTCGGGGGCTGTGGAGAGCCTCGGGGTGCCGGGAACCTGGATTGAGGGCCATGGGGAACCCTGGGGTGTTAGGAACTTGTATCAGGGGCCATGGGGAGCCCCAGGGGGTCAGGAGCCTAGATCGGGGGCTGTGGGGAGCCCCGGGGTGCCGGGAACTTGGATCGGGGGCTGTGGCAGCCCTGGGAGGCCAGGAGTCTGGGTCGGGGGCTGTGGAGAGCCTCGGGGTGCCGGGAACCTGGATCGGGGGCCATGGGGAGCCCCAGAGTGCTGAAAGCCTGGATCTGGGGCTGTGTGGAGCCCTGAGCTGTTGCCTGCCGGTCGCCCAGCTGCTCTGAAACGTGGAGGAACACCTGTCCCCATGGAGGGACTCCATCCCGCAGAACCTAAGATCAGGGCAGAGAGCCCCTCTGTCCCTGCACACAGCAAGATAGTCCAAGGATGCTGAGTGGGAACAGCCCCCCGGGGGGCCATCGCTGTCACTCTGGCACCAGGGCTTGTCCCCAGTGGGCCACCCTGTGTCTGAGCCGGCTGAGAGGTCCCTTCACACGTCTGGCACCACAGCACCTTCTAGTGTTTGCGTGGGGTGCGCGCCCAGAGCCCAGACCTCTCTAAGTTCACCACGGCAGATGGGAACCGTTCTAGAGGGCGGCCTGGTGTGCCCGTTCACGCACCGACGACTCTCTCTCCCCAGGACCTAATCAAAGTGCATCACAGCTTCCTGCGGGCCATTGACGTGTCCATGATGGCAGGGGGCAGCACTCTGGCCAAGGTCTTCCTGGACTTCAAGGAGAGGTGAGTGACAGGCCCGTCCCTCGCTGTCCGCGGGGCCTCGGGAGCGTCCGGGGCCTCCAGTTCCGGCCTGGGGACGGTCACAGGTGCCGGTACTCAGGTGGGAATCTCACGGCAAGGCCCTCGAGGCAGGTGGCTGTGCCCCTGTGAGCCCCTGTGAACCCCTGTCCTCACTGGGACACGGAGAGAGCTGCCCACCCTTCCCGCCGTCACAGCCTGGAGGGGTGACCTTCCCCAGCAGGGCCTCCCGAGGACTCCACCAGCTCCCTCTGCCTCCGTGCCTGGGGGTCTTGGTGGCTGGAGGCCGTTCTCACCATCACGGTGCACCTGCTGCCTGCCAGGCCCCCCGGGGACCTGGCACCTGAGAGACTCTGCCCCTCGAGCTGCACGGGTGGCGGGCGGCAGCTGAACGACAGGACCCGAACCGGCCCCCGCAGGTCCGAGGAAGGGGCTTCCGGGCTCTGGGTGCCCAGGGGTGAGGTCAGTTCCCCGCTTCCTCGACGGTGTGTGTCACGGGGCCGGGACTTCCTAATCTGTCCCTGAGGGACGCTGATGGTGTCTGTGCCACGTGGTGCCCCGAGGGTAAACTGAGGCCAGGCCCGTATCGCCGACGCGGCTTGTCTGTGGCCATTGAAGGGCTCCGGTGGCCGGGACCCGGCGGACAGGCGGGCGGGATGGCGGGGAGGCAGCACTGCTGTGGGCACGGGCACCCGGCCATCCTGGCCTCCGCCAGCCGCAGCCCCCAGCGTGGGGAGACGTGGCTCCGGACAGGCACGCGCAGGCCTGGGTCCTCCGATCGTGTGTCCGCGGCGTCGGGGCAAGTGCCCATGAAGCCCGAGGGGGCAAAGATTCTGCCCGTCAGCCTCCGAGGCAGTGTCTCTCCTCCCCTTGGCACCCACGAGGTCAGGCTGAGTCTAGACGCACAGACGGTGCCGGCCTCCCCACTGCCAGAAACATGCAGAATGTGGTTCCTCCCACCGTCCGGGCCCCTCATCTGGAACCGGTATCGTCGGGGCAGGAGACTGGCAACTCATTAGAAACCAGCGCAGGAACCTTCTCGAAGAATTACGTGGCTGTCGGGAGGCCTCCACAAACCTGTTTGTTGTTAAGCTTCTCTGCCAGTAACCCAGTGGATGGAAGAGTGTGGAGATGCCTTCCATGCCCCAAATGTCCTGCTGGAGCCCAGCAGGGGAGGACTGGGATTCTGGAAGCTTCTGTGGCTCTGCCGTCCCAGCGAAGGTCTCAGACCCCGCCTTTCTTCCTGGAGCCCGGGCAGCGGCATCTTTAAAGCCGGGCACGAAACGAGATGATGCAAGGACTCAGCCAGATGCCCGGGGCTGCGGGAGCCCCAGAGGACAGTGTTCCAGTCTCTGAATTCTCGGGAGGCCCATCGGGAGGCGGTGCCCTGGCTCCTGCCCCTCGGACTCTGGAGGAGGCGCCCCCAGCTTCTGTGTTCACGGCTCCTCTGCCTGCCTGTCGTCCGAGCCACCTGGGAGCTTGTTAAGAACGCCAATTCTGGGGTCCACTCTGCAGGGTCTGAGGGGGAGGCCCCAGGGCAGCTGGTGGGCACCCTGGGTCCACCTCGTCCTTATCTGCAGGGAGGTCCCCTGCAGCACCTGCCAGGTGACGCTCAGCTCAGCTCACGTGTCCTCCTGGCCAGGCGGCCCATCCCAGGGCTGGATTCCGGGGCCTCTACGAGCCCCTGAAGCGGCTTCCCCTGCGTGCTCTGTGGCTCCGGGCAGGGGGCTCTCTCCCCTCCGCACGGGCGGGGATCCCTGAGCCCACTTTCTAGGGGCCATGGGTGGGGCCCCAGGCAGGCACGAGGGAGCAGGCAGTGCCTGAGGACAGGTGGCAGATGTGGCCAGAGGGCGGGTGCGCTTTCTCCAGGCACTGGCTGATGAGGGCATGCTGGCAGGCCCCGGGGTGGGGGACAGGCGGCTCCCTTACCCGCCCCCTGCCCCCAGCAATGCTTTCTTCTCACCTGGCTACAAGCCTGTGTGCCGGGGAAGCCAACTCAGACCCGACCCTCATCCTCACGGGTGGTGGGGGGGAGGCCACGGACCTGTTGAGCCACCCCCAGGCCGAGTGGCCAAGGGACAGACTGCCCTTCCCCAGGAACCCCCTCCGGCCCAAGAGCCTGCCCCACGGTGTTTGCCCTTTACAAGGCTGCCGTCCTCTGTGCTCCGCTTTGGGCCCCACAGGGCTCTCGGGCCTTGTTTCTGCCGGGATGACCGTTGTTTCTACGGCCAGAGCGGCCGCAGGGACTGGATCGTGTTCCGGCACCGGGAGCTCGGCAGATGGGCTCTCTGTCACCGCCCAGCAAGGCTTTGGAGGCCAGGCCCCGGAGTCTGGGTAGTTTGGGGAGGGGGCTGGCTGCGCCTCATCAGAGCTCGTTTTCCAGGCCTCACGATCCGTCCCGGCGCCCGTCTTTTCTGCCCCTTCGCCTCCTCGTCTCTGAGTCGACACCTGAGGTCCTGACGTGCGGTTCGGCGAGCATTCATAGAGTGCCTGCCGTGTCCCAGACAGGACAGGCTCTGCTCTCACTGGGCGGGGAGGTCAGGAAGCAAGTTCACAGGCAGAGGACTCGAGAGCACGGGGAAAGGGAGAGTGTGGGGGCAGTAGGGGCTCGTAGCAGAGGAGGGGGTGCTGAGGACCTGGGCGAGAGCCCACCACCCCTGAGGTGGGGGCAGGGTGGGGGCAAAGCCGCAGGGAAGGCCCCGGGAGAGGCAGGAGCGGGACTGTTTGGGACCTGGCAGAGGCCAGAGGAGCAGGACTGAAGTGAGCAAAGCAGAGACTGTCCAAGGAGTGACTTCTGCAAGAGCCTAGAAGATCAACATAGGGATTTAGGAAGAAGCCCCTGAGGAATTTGAGTGGCAAGATCCTGGCAGCTCATCACGGATAAAGGGTGGACTAGCGTCCAGAGTGGCAGAGGACAATCCCCTCCCTCTTTTTGGAGCGGATACTTCTGTTCATACAGCCTTAGTCCTCAGACAAAGCACATGTTCCTCTTAGCCTTGCCTTGTGGACCTGAGGGGACAAGTCCCACACGGTGGGACCTGGGCCTTGGGAAGGGTTTGCATTTTGCAGATGCGGATGGAACAGAGATGTGGCTGGGGGTGGCCAAGCCAGGTCAGTGGGGCGAGACTACAAAGGGAACCAGCCACAGCGAGTTCGTGTCCCGGAGAGAAGGCGAGGGTCTGGCTCTTAGGAGGAACTCTCTGGAGCTTTTTGCACAAGTGCTTTTCGAAGGAGCAGCCGTCAGAGTAAGACTGACAGCATCTCCACCCGCGCAGACCCGTGGGCGCTTCGAGAGAAAGGCTGGGCCGGAGGCGGGCGCTTTGCACTCTGCGGTTTCTGGCTGCTCAGGGTGTTGGGCCGGGTCGCGCCGCTCTCTGGTTGTGGTTCCCGCCGCAGGCCTGGGTCTCGGGAGGCTGGGTGGCTCCTGTCAGTCTGTCAGCGCGTGCAGGGAGGGAGCCCGCCCAGGGCCGAGCTCCTCGAGCCCCCGCGGCAGGGCTGCCTGGGACCCTCTGACCCCGAGAGGCTTTTGCCCGCCTCCTGATCCTCCTTTCCCAGGCGGGGAGGTTCAGGGCGGGAGAGCATTGGCCACCACCTGGCCGTGGTCCCGACTCGTGCCTGTGTCTCCGGGAGTGCCACCTGCGTCCGGGACCTGCCTTGGCCTTGTCTCTGGGCACTGCGTCCCTTGGGGTTCTGTGACAAAGGACGGAGTGACGCGGTCACCCGGGGGGCAGGTGAGGGTCCCCCTGATAGATGCATCTACTCCCCCTCCGTAGCGCGGTCCGAGTTGCACGTTCAGGAAGTTACGTGACGTGGCCCTTGAACAGAGAGACCCCAGCTCGTGTCAGATACTTACCGACCGGCGTGTGAGGCGCCCGTGCGCCGAGTCGGCGGGGAAAGAAGGAAGCACCGAGGCAGCGACGCCAGCCGCACACCGTGGGGGTGTCCTCTCCGACAGGGCGGCGAGCGTCTGCACCCCGGCAGTCTCCCACCAGGCCACGAGGCCCCGGTGGCCGAGGCCGGCTGCTGTTTCCAGGGGCCCCACGGAGCCCCTGAACCGTGAACGAAGCCCCCGTGTGCGTGTTGCGTGACTTCCAAGTGTCGGATGGTTTTTCTCAGCAGCAGAGAGATGCTCGTGGTTAAAAGGAAGACCTGTCGGCTTTCACTTCCTTAAGTGACTTCCTTCTGTAGGCTCAGAGCGTAAGGTCCGCGGCCCACGCCGCCCGGCACGGGGCAGGGCATAGACGCAGGCCAGAGATCTGAGTGCGTGTGGGGCAGAAATGGACTCTCGCAGTTTCACGGGGCCCAAATCCAGATGTGGGTGGGCGGCGCTCCCTCCGGAGGCTCTGGGGGGGGCGGGGCCTTCCCCCCCTTCCAGCTGCTGGCGGCCCTGGGTGTCCCTTGGCTTGGGGCCTGCCTCTCCGGTCTCTGCTCTGTCCTCATGCGGCTTCTGGCCTATGAGGCCTCTTCTCTTCTCTCGGCCAAGGACACTCTTCAGTGGATTCGGGGCCCACCCGAATCTGGCATGCTATCTTCTCCGTCCTTGCCGTGACCGCAAAGACCCGATTTCCGAATACGCTCGCTTTCTGAGGCTCCAGGGCGCCTGCATTTCGGGGTCACTCTTCAGCCCGACACGCCATCTCTGGGCACCTCGAGAAGTCACGTCGCCTCTCAGAGCCTTAGGGCCGCCGTCTTACAAGTGGTGTTTCACGAGGACAGGCTGAGCTCGGGTGTCAGTGCCTCCCGTGGCCCGGCCTCTTTGGGTCCTTAAAGCTTTGCTCTTTTTCCCTGCAGGGGCTCCCCTGCCCCCCCCCGGAATCGGCTGCAGCTGCTGCACTGCCTGTGGTCAGGCCCCTCGCAGCCAGGCGTAAGGCCTCTGGGCAGGCCAGGCCCCCGGGGCTCAATGCTGCGGTGTGGGGACAAATGAGACCCGTCTCTGGAGCTCAGAGCCGGTGCAGAGGGTAGATTCTCACTCGGCTTTGGACAGGCCTCTACCCAGAGGCTCCCTACCTGTCTCCTTGCTTTTCTGTCTCACCTCCCTGGACCCGGGGACAGGGTTGGGAGGGGAAAGGTCGCAGAGCTGGAAATGATGGGGCGGGGTTTTGAGGGATGGGTAGAAGTTCACTGGCTGGAGGAAGTGCAGTGTGCGGTCTGGGGATGGGAGGCGTGCTGTGAAAGCAGGGTTGGGACCCGCTCTGTCCACAACCTTGGGCCGGGATGAGCCCGGGGAGTTCTGAAGTTAAGGAGGGGAACCCATAGGGCTGGCTTGGCCCACCCAGAGCTGTGAGCACCCGGTGCTTAGGAGAGGCGGCTTCACTGCCCACACAGACTTCCCTCCACGGGGGCAGCTGGGCCGTTGCCAGGTCTGCTCATTTAAAACCATCTGGCAGAAACCTTGGAGTCTCTACCCTCCTCCCCATGCTTTCAGAGATGATGCGTTTTAATCAACTTTTATACTAGAATTCTCAATTCGATAACCGGCTCATTTAAGTGGAAACCAGGGCTCAGGTTCTCATGCCAAGCGATGTCCGGTCAGCGTGTCCCAGGGCACAGCCAGGGCTGGGTGCTCTGCGGGGCTGCGGACACGGGTCCCGGCCGTGGGGCGTTCTCCTTTACAGTGGCCGGGAAGGTGAGCTCCCGTGTGAGGTCCGGGACTGGATCGGTCTCTCACTAGAGTCGCAGAATCTCAGTCTGTCGATGCCAGAAGCTTCCCTGCAGGCTGGCACCGGCCAAAGTTCTCAGGGTGGCTTGAGGATGTGGCTGCCGCTTGGCCGAGCGTCTGCGCCCTGGAGCCTGCGAGCACGGGCCGGCACGGCACAGCCCAGACGCCTGTCGGGGACTGGGAGACGCTGCCCACCTCGGGGCCACTCCGGGATCACGGTTCGCTGGGTTGGAAACGTGCTCCGGGCATGCGGCTTTGCCCTTCCAGAGCTGGGAGGAATGTGGGTGTCGTCTGTCCCCAGGCCCCTCCGGCCCCACAGCGGGAGCCTGGGGAGCCCCCCAGACCAGGATGCTTCTTCTCAAAGTACCAGCAGCCGGCAACGGGCCCAGCTGCCGGCCCTGAGCACCCGGCCAGGGGCCCCGCGGTGGAGCAGTGTCCACGGTGGACAGGCCCGTGTGTCCCAGCGTGTCTTGATGTGTCCCAGAGACTGCCCCCAGCTTCCAGAGCCCGGCCAGGAGGGGCCTCCAGCCGTTTGCTGTGACACAGAATCTCTGGCACCCGGCAGGGCGTCACTGGACGGCGGGGCCATCACCCCTTATCAGCTGGTGACCTTGTAGCGAGTTCACTGAGGCCTCGGTTTCCCTGCCTGAGGAGTGGGGCTCACTGCTCCTCCCTGTACAAGTGGGTGAAGGGGTCCCGATGTTGTGCCAGGAGTGGCCGTCATTGCTTGTCACAACCAGCGTCGTCACCTGTGTGGTGCTCCCGGGGCCGAGCCCATAGTCGGGTGACAAGGCTTTCGGAGATGAAGTTTCAGGCCGGTAGCCCAAGGCCCAGAGAGTGCCGGGGGCTCCGGTCTGTGAAGTGGGGGGGCGGTCGTGGTGTTGGAGGCTCTTCGGGGGGAG